GGTCGCGACATTTTAGGCGGGAAACTCACCTGGAACTTGCAAAGTTCCATGGAAACTCGCCCTGTATTTGCCTTTCGTTTGTGACTGTGTTTGGGCATCGTATGGTCCGCCGGGTCTGTGCAGTGGATGAACTACCCCATGATGCGTGGTGTAATCGCGTGGTCTGGCTCTCGTGCACGCGCACAGAGGGCTTGGCCGCGCTCGGACCAATCAGAACTGTCATCAAGCGGGGAGTTAGAAAAGAGCCAGAATGGGCAGAGTTTGTGGCACTAAAGTGAAGATATTATAGAAACCGAAGATTTAAGAAGAAAAAAAGTTCAGGATGACAAGGGACACTAAAATCCCCACAAAATCCGATCTTTATGAAAGCTTTGAGTTACTCCGAGTGCTGAGGTCGAGCTGTTTTAGTTTACATTGAGTTCTATGGGGAAACTTTCTGTGTAGCCCCGTGAATTTAGTCTTGTTTAGTCTGCAGTACCGCCATGAATCCCCGAGCACATGAGGGTTCTTCCTTCAGCTAGTAATAACCCTATCCAGTATTATAATAAATCGGCACAAATTCACGTTAGGGCATAGATAAAAATGGAAAATCTGAAAAAATCATTGGCAGTGCTCATGAGCCACATTCATTTAACGAGTGCCTCAAAAATTCACAGCGAGCAAAATATGGCCACAAAAATTCATCCCATCAGCATTAACATGTGGAGAGCTTGGGTAAACCATTGACATGTAAAAGTTTCGGAGGTAAGAAACTTATGTTAGATTGGTATTTTTATCCGGTATCCCATCGGCGGGGTGGTGTTTGCGTGTCAGCCCGTAATTTGGCCACTTTTGAGCTGGGACCCACCACCATGGTCAAAACTAGTTAGCTTCCCTAACAAATAGCAATTAGCAAAACTCAATTGCCCGTTACAGAGCGCTGGCTGATTCGAGCTCTTCTTATACAAACAGCTTTTCCTCATCTGATTGTTTCTTCTTTGCCACAACAGGGCGAAGTGGCAAGGTGAAAGTTGCCCTTTGGGGGTTTTTGATTCAGCCATTCAAGGTGTTTTAGAAAATCCAACTCAATAACAACTCAGACAGGTTCGCGCACTGACCAAAAAGCAGGAGGGGGGGTGAAGGATCCATTGGTTTATTTCTCTCGGTTTGGGGAGCCCACGTATCAGTAAGAGAGTGAAGAAGCCCTATTTGGGGAGAAATTGGCCCGAAGAATTTTTCGAGGGCCGTATGAGGACCCGAGAGGAGGGGCCTGCCTGAAGGAGGAGTCTGAAGTGCGAGGGGTGAATATGGCAAGAGTTATGAGGGTGATTGAGGAGAGGATGAGACCTGAGTAGGTGGAAGAAGCCGGGCCGTATGTGGTGGTGAGTGATGACTCGAAGATCGAGGAGTTGTTGAGTAGAGGTTGACTTAGAGGAACAGCGATGGGAGAAGATTAAGTTATAGATTGAAGAGAGATGAGACGAAGTAGACCAATATAGGGAGAAATGGAATCAGGATAAGAAGGTAGGACACACGAAGAGGAGGGAGGATGAAATGGATGGATACGGACTGTGAGATGATATTAGTTAGTGTGGAGACCATCGAGATTTGAGGGACGAGTTCAGAAGAAATGACTGTGATTTATGTGAAATGAGAGGGTGAGACGTGGGGAGATGAGACAGGATATTTGAAGTTATGATGAGAACTAGCCATTGTATGTAAGTAGCATGGAGGAGGGAGGGAGCTAGGAGGAGGCGAAAAAGCTTTAGGACGGGGAAAATGAGGGAATGAGAGGAAGATTGATGTGATGGAAGAGAGAAGTGAGGAAGAGGAAGAAGAGAGAGGAACTGGTGAGGACCGGAGGCGGAATGAGGAATGTGATAGGGAGTGAAAGTGAATGAGACCATCGAAGAATAAAAGAGAAGAAGTGGAGACCAAGAGAGTGAGGAAGAGAAGAAGGCCCCCAATGGGAGAGGGGAAACAGGGGGGGGGGGAGATGGAAAAGAAAGGGTGAAAACCAGCTGGTTTTTTTGTTTTTGGAACTGATTTTGTACTCGCCCTTATATGATGTCACATCATGTTACTCGATACGATTTCTATTTCACTTTTTCGCTGTGATTTTGGAGAGAATAGTGTTTGTAAATGTGCTCCTGGTCAGAGCAGGGTCAGACTCCTGCAGTGCTCTGGTCTTATGCCCGGATCACAGCTCTGGTTGTTTTATCTTTTCTCATTTACACAGATCCACGGAAAAAGTACAAAACAATTCTTTTTCTGATCCACGCTGCTTTGAAAAGTCCCTGTGCCTCTGTAGCTTTGATTTAGTTTGAGAGTTAAAGTCCCAGCGACATGAGCAAGGAGAAGCTTGTGTGGACGGGGATTCATGACTCTAAATGTATTGTGTTGTGTATTAAAGCTGGGGTCCCTGACTTTACATCACAGTAAATGGAACTTTGTACTTTTCCGACAATAGTTCTCCAAACAGTTTAGTTCTATCACTGGTTTTCTCAAAAGAGAGCAAGACCAGAGAGAGAGACCAGAGAGAGAGACCAGAGAGAGAGACCAGAGAGAGAGACCAGAGAGAGAGACCAGAGAGAGAGACCAGAGAGAGAGACCAGAGAGAGAGACCAGAGAGAGAGACCAGAGAGAGAGACCAGAGAGACCAGAGAGAGTGAGACCAAAGCTCTCTCTCTCTCTCTCTCTCTGGTGTCTCTGCTCTCTCTCTCCCTGGTCTCTCTCTCTGGACTCCCGCTCTGGTCTCTCTTTCTGTCTCTCTCTGGTCTCTCTCTGGTCTCTCTCTGGTCTCTCTCTGGTCTCTCTCTGGTCCCTCTCTGGTCCCTCTCTGGTCCCTCTCTGGTCCCTCTCTGGTCTCACAGCTCTCAGTCCACTTGCAGAACCACAGTAAGAAAACTTAATAGAGTTTCTTTACTCTGACTCTAAAATGCATAAACAGGTTTTAGTTTAATTGGAGCCTAGACTTAAACCTGGAAATGAACATTTTTGACTTTTCTAAAATGCTGTTATTCCTGGAGGTGCGTTCCATTGTCCATCGCTGTCGTGGAAGACGCTGGGAGAAGGTGTAGTTTTGGGGTAGACGTGCATGAATGTCCAGTGGTCCATTATTTGGGTCACTCAGTGCGCGCGTCCTTAAAGGCAAGTCTGGCCTTTTCTCATTTCCACTATTCCCTTACCCCCTTTAAAAATGGGTGTTGTTTCCCCCCCCCACGGAACCCTCGCTTTCTCCTTCCCTCCTCCCTACTTCCTCACTTAAAAGTGGCCGTATATTGTAAGAGCTGAGGTTTGAGGTAGGTGAGTTCGTTTTATCCCTTGTTTATCACTTTGTTAAAAAATTGATTCCCCTATATGTGGGGTAGGGTAGTGCCCCCGCCGTTAACTGAGATATGATATATTATTATGCCCCCCCCCCCCCCCTCCACCTACTTGTCCCCCTCCTAGACATTCCTAATCTCTTAAAGTAGGGGTTCCCTGGTCTCTGCTAAGAAGTTGGAAATTTTTTTGTTAATTTGGTTCTTTGTGTGCGAGGCAGTATAGTTGATTGGAAATGTGAGTGAAGTGTTGTGGGGGGGGGGGTGGTTTTGACGTCGTAGTGGGGTTGTTGTGCTGTGGTTTTCTCCCCCCTTCTCCTCTTGGTTACGTTATCCTACGGTCGGTCTTAGTTGTGTTAGTTGGTGGTGGCTGAGGAGATTGGTGATGATGTTTATTAACCGATACTGCGTCACATCTCTAAGCTACTTTCTCCATTATTTCAAATTATTCGCACCCTCCCCTCTTTTGTCTAATATTTCCAATATCGGCTAGCACAAAACAGCCCCTACCTTAGTAGACCTGCTGAGGATCTTTTTCTGGCCTCTATCCCTGCCTTTGGTCCTCGCCCAGCGTTCTTCCACGACAGGCGGTTGACTTTTCGTTCTTTATGGGAAACAATGGAACGCACCTCCAGGAATAACAGCATTTTAGAAAAGTCAAAAATGTTCATTTCCAGGTTTAAGTCTAGGCTCCAATTAAACTAAAACCTGTTTATGCATTTTAGAGTCAGAGTAAAGAAACTCTATTAAGTTTTCTTACTGTGGTTCTGCAAGTGGACTGAGAGCTGTGAGACCAGAGAGGGACCAGAGAGGGACCAGAGAGGGACCAGAGAGAGACCAGAGAGAGACCAGAGAGAGACCAGAGAGGGACAGAAAGAGAGACCAGAGCGGGAGTCCAGAGAGAGAGACCAGGGAGAGAGAGAGCAGAGACACCAGAGAGAGAGAGAGAGCTTTGGTCTCACTCTCTCTCTCTGGTCTCTTCCTCTCTGGTCTCTCTCTCTGGTCTCTCTCTCTGGTCTTGCTCTCTGGTCTTGCTCTCTTTTGAGAAAACCAGTGATAGAACTAAACTGTTTGGAGAACTATTGTCGGAAAAGTACAAAGTTCCATTTACTGTGATGTAAAGTCAGGGACCCCAGCTTTAATACACAACACAATACATTTAGAGTCATGAATCCCCGTCCACACAAGCTTCTCCTTGCTCATGTCGCTGGGACTTTAACTCTCAAACCAAATCAAAGCTACAGAGGCACAGGGACTTTTCAAAGCAGCGTGGATCAGAAAAAGAATTGTTTTGTACTTTTTCCGTGGATCTGTGTAAATGAGAAAAGATAAAACCAGAGCTGTGATCCGGGCATAAGACCAGAGCACTGCAGGAGTCTGACCCTGCTCTGACCAGGAGCACATTTACAAACACTATTCTCTCCAAAATCACAGCGAAAAAGTGAAATAGAAATCGTATCGAGTAACATGATGTGACATCATATAAGGGCGAGTACAAAATCAGAAGGCTTTTGTGTAACGCAGTGATTAGTTCAGAAGACTTTCTCTGGTCTCTCTCCGGTCTCTCTCTGGTCTCTCTCTCTGATCTCTCTCTGGTCTCTCTCTGGTCTCTCTCTGGTCTCTCTCTCTGGTCTCTCTCTGTGGTTTCTCTCACTGGTTTCTCTCTCTGGTCTCTCTCGATGGTCTCTCTCGATGGTCTCTCTCTGGTCTCTCTCTCTGATCTCTCTCTGGTCTCTCTCTGGTCTCTCTCTGGTCTCTCTCTCTGGTCTCTCTCTGTGGTTTCTCTCACTGGTTTCTCTCTCTGGTCTCTCTCGATGGTCTCTCTCGATGGTCTCTCTCTCTGATCTCGCTCTCTGATCCCTCTGATCTCTCTCTGGTCCCTCTCTGGTCTCTCTCCGGACTCTCTCTGGTTCCTCTCTCTGGTCCCTCTCTCTAGTCTCTCTCTCTGGTCTCTCTCTCTGGTTTCTCTCACTTGTTTCTCTCTCTGGTCTCTCTCTGATCTCTCTCTGGTCTCTCTCTGGTCTCTCTCTGGTCCCTCTCTCTGGTTCCTCTCTCTGGTCCCTCTCTCTAGTCCCTCTCTCTGGTCTCTCTCTCTGGTTTCTCTCACTTGTTTCTCTCTCTGGTCTCTCTCTCTGATCTCTCTCTGGTCTCTCTCTGGTCTCTCTCTGGTCCCTCTCTGGTCCCTCTCTCTGGTCTCTCTCTCTGGTCTCTCTCTGTGGTCTCTCTCTCTGGTTTCTCTCACTGGTTTCTCTCGATGGTCTCTCTCGATGGTTTCTCTCTCTGGTCTCTCTCTATGGTCTCTCTCTCTGGTCTCTCTCTCCTGTTTCTCTCACTGGTTTCTCTCTCTGGTCTCTCTCTATGGTCTCTCTCTCTGGTCTCTCTCTCTGGTCTCTCTCTCTGGTCTCTCTCTCTGATCCCTCTGGTCTCTCTCTGATCCCTCTGATCCCTCTGGTCTCTCTCTGATCCCTCTGATCCCTCTGGTCTCTCTCTGATCCCTCCGATCCCTCTGGTCTCTCTCGGATCCCTCTCTCTCAGGGGGCGAAGTGGGAAGGAGATGGAGGTGGGAAGGAGGTGGGCAAGTACATGAGTAGCAAGGGTTCCTCAGAGCTGCATCTTTGGTCCTGTCATATTCTACAATGTCCCCATGAATTGCATTGTAGTATGATTTTATTTTACAGTTAGAATCTATCACTGGACTATAAATAATTATTTCAATATAGTGAAAAAAACAGTATTAGCATGTGTGGCTGGTTCATTATACAGTAGATAGCATTACCAGGATTAGCATAACCAGGAATGTTGTGTTTAAAAATTAAGCTGTTATCGGCGACTAAGTAATGATGTGCTGAAAAGACCTTCCATTACATATTAATAAGAACTCCATAGGATTCTGACATACAAGCTCAGATATGCATGGTCGAGCTAGGATCACGTCACGTACAGTAAACGTCCCAAATTACCAGACGAGAAAAAGTGATCAAAGTGAGATGTAAAGATACTGGTCAGTGGATATGAGTCAAACGTTCTAATTCATTGGATAAAGCAACATATACAACTGTCAAGTGTTTATCTTATGAGAGAATGCTAAAACTACAACAATGGAGAGGTTTGGGTTTGAGAGTGGTGAGAGGGAGGAGTTTAAACTTTAAACTGGATTCTGAGGTTTGATATGTTGTTGTGTGGATCCTAGACTTGTGAACACATTGCATGGATGAGGCTCTATGGACAATAACAACTTTTCCAGAATAATATGCTTTTCCCTAAGTTTGTGCAGATGCCCTCTCAGTTTTTTCTAAGCACAAAAAGAACAAAGTGGAGGTTGGGGTGAGGAGGCTTTGCAACACGAACCCTGATGTTTCTGAGTCAGGGTTAGTCTAAAAAATGTGACACAGGCCCAAAAGACATGCATGTGAAAACTAGTGATTGAACAAAAGACACATGAAAGCCATAAAGTTAAAAAAAACAATTTTCTATTTCATTGTGTGCTCACAGATTTATTGGCCTGATGTATCGCCAATATCCCAAAGTCTGTGTTTTACGACGGGACGGACGATTGACCGAGTGCTGATGTCACCATTGTGTTAGATTAAAGCGGAAGAAGCAGATTTGCCAATTTTCTTACATATGTGTTACAACTGGGTGACCTATGCACTGTAACAGGGCCAAATGCAATCTTTAGTGTTGCAAACATGGAAGCAGGAGTTTCCCTTGTGAAGGATATGATTGGTCATGTCTGGAATTACAAAGACCCTATCAAAATATAAACACCAGGATCACAGAGAGCACTAAACCAGGGATTATCCAAGCCCAAAATGGTGAGCGAAGGTGACGGGAAAGGTTAGAGTCAATAAGAGCCAGAGCATAACTACATCCACGAGCTCTTCCCTATTGGGTTTCATTGGATTTCAGTATCGCTCATCTGAATACAGCCGGTGTATAATCCCTGCAATTATCCCATTGCAAACTTCATAATGTTTTAAAGTCCTCTGCAAACGTCTGTTGATACTAATTGTGAAAGCTATGACTCAGAGAAAGTACTTTGAAGCCTGTAATAACACTAATAACACCTGGATCCATCAGACGTCACGTGCTGAGTGCATGTAAAGATTATTATGAGACTTGTCAACGCACTGTACAAATTAGTTCCACATCCATCTTCCATTACATGGCTATGAAGGAGCAGCTAGTGGCTAGGGAGGATATAGCTGTATAATTTATGGACTCGTGGACTTGGAGAGGCCATGTAATCGTTCTTATGAGAGAGCCGGGTCCATCCGTCACTCCTCGCCACTTTTTAAGTCGTTTTGGTGTTTGTGAGATGGATTTAGCTGCTGGAGGAACTAAACACTGCAGCCCACTGGAGTCCGGCCGTAGTCTGGTGATTATAGTGTACTGGACTCAGCAAGGCTCAATTATTGTTCAATTCAATTTATTTGTGTATAGTACAGTTCGAACATAACAAACACATAGTAGCCATTGGTCCACAGGAAGACCACTGTCTATAAATGTTAATAACAGTCCAGAGCTTCCTGCATCTGCAAGGAACAGCTCAAAGGAGAAACAGTGAACGTGAAAAACCTCCAGAAGGCAACCCCTTACAGACAGGCCATAGATCCAGGAATCAGACCTCACAACAAGGACTAAGGCTGAAGGACTGGAGACACTCCCAGGAGAGGAGAGGATACAGCGGTCGAAAGGTCAGATTCAGGGGTTCCATCATCACGCCATTAAACTGATCATGGGACAGCGGGTGAATAGCAATTAACAGACTACAGCTGAAGTCAGAGGAGAGGAGAGAATAGTGCTCAAGTTACCAAGATCAATACCGCCGCAAAAAATGTATTATACATATATTAGTTTTATACTATTTACCTTGAAAAAAGCATATTATTTGAATTTATATTTGTTCAGCTACTGGCCTTTTGTGCTTCCTTCTTCTAAACAAATCAACACGATCTCCCTATCTTTTATCCCAATACTTTCTTTCCTGCTTAAGTTTAGTTTTATTTGAATCCGTCCCTCTTCTATTGCTGCCAAATCTCACATTAACCCTTTCTGCTCCGATATTGACGAACCGCCAGCCTAAGTTTCAGTCTTAAATCTTCCTTCTTTCCCGTCTCTGTCCTCATTACAAAATCTTTAAAGTGGATTTCTGTAGCTCGACCTGTCAAATCACTTTCCTCAAATCAGACCCAGTTATAGCAGAATCAAAGTCCATTCCTAATATATCTCCGTCAACTATTTCCAGAGCACACTCTTCTCGGCTGCTTTCATGATTTGCTAATGTCTGTTTTTTCAGCCAGCGCTTGCTCAATCGATGAACATAAGTAGCGGAAGTACAGGTAAATAGGCTTCTATAAGTTTCTACGGACTCAGCCGCATTAGATGGTGGATTTGCAATCTCAGGCCATTTGTGGGACATTATGTAAAACTAATTGGAAAGATAAGGTCTGATTGCAGATTCTAATTGGGTTATCTCAGGGGGAAGAGGCTGTTAGATGTAAACACGCGGACAAATCGCTAACAGACTGACGTCCGTTTGCAATCGAGATGTTATCAGAAAGTACGGAGATGTTGATACAGCTGCACCCTTTTCCTATTCACCGACTACTTATCGTTGTCATTTTTCCTTTATTGTCCAGCAGCC